GACCTAGGCGCACGCGAAAGCTGAATTCACACTTCCAAGATCAAACCTTGACGGGAAACATCCTCTCAAAATTTCAGCTCTGATTTTATCTGGCTCACAGGCTAGGAAATTCCCCGCTAAAACTTTCATACGTTTGGACATGAAACACTGGCAGAAGTGGAAGCTGAATTTAAAAAGAAATACATGTATTTTCCTAAAAATTTCGGCACCGAAAACTCCGAAAAAGATCCGATCACATACACAAATACACACACACACACACACACACACACAAAAGATAGGGTTTCGATAGAAATGCTTTTGCATCGCTGTTGCAGCGTAAAATGCATGGAAAGTCAAAATTCCCTCTATAAATATAAAGTAAATATTCTCTGTGAGTAGCGCAGCCACTCCGAATCAGTACAAGCGGCAGCACTCCCAAGAACTACTGGTGGTTGGTAAGGCTATCGATGGCTCCTTTCTTCAATGAAAGCTATGTACAAATAATTTGAATTCAGTTTCGATTCCTTGTTGAAAATCAGTACCAATTTCTTACCGAAATAAGTAAACTAAACCTAAAAAAGCTCACTAACACCCTGGCGGGGTCGAACTCTCGATCTTCCGCACCAGAAAAACATCGTTGTACCATAACTCCATTTTTCCAAAGTTGCAAAGCAAGCGATTTTGATAAAAGTGCTATTTATCAAAAAACTTACAGAAGCAGCTGTCAAATATGGCGATGAGAACATCGGGAGACAAACCCCGCCAGCCAGAGCAGTTGCAATGCTACCAAGAAGCAAACACGTATTGCACAGATCCCCATGGCTGTAAAATCAAGTGCAGGAATTTCCTTTTTTTTCCGCAAAAACAAATTTTGAACAAAAATAAAGATATAGGTGGCGAAACATATAGAATCCCCGTCCAATAATTAGTATACATCCCCTTCCAGCACCAAAATACGGTCCTGATAAATTGAAAATAGTAAAAGTTGGGACGGGAACACTGTGTAAAATGGGTAATGCCTGAAAGGTATGAGGAAACAGAAAAATAATAAGAAACGAATTAGCAAAGCTATGCCATGAACTGACACAGGGGCACTGCATTAGTTCTCGTACTACTGCTATATTGTAATTGAGGAAGAGGGCCATGTCACTGTTGGCTAGCGCAACTTAGAATATTTCAACATCCGAAGTTTGGTGCCCTTGCAAATTCCCGCTCTATTAATGTCCCATCACTCCGAGCAATGGTCATAATGCAGCGGCATGGGAAAGCATAAACAGGTGAGCTTAAAACGAAAACAATGCGGCAATTATTGAGCAAAACGGGATATCCGAAGGCGTGTGGATTTGGCAAGAAGTTTCGTGAAGATCGCTTGAATTGGTGATCTGCCGTTTCCCGGTAATCATTCTTGATTTTTACGCGTTAAAATCCTGTATATAAATGTGAGTGATCAGGGATTGATTCATTGTTATTGTTCTTGTTCATCGTCCTATTACTCCATCAGTGTCAATGAAGCTACCATCATGTCTTCGGCGTCCCCGTACAGTTCAGCCGAGAGGAAGCACCGTCAAGACAGCATAAGTGGGCCTGCGAGAAGCATCGACAGGGTACGATTCGCCATTGCCAGGCAAGGCGCCCAACACAGTCTCCAAAACATTCCAGCGGAGGGAAATCGCTATCAGGACGGTTTATCGGATGGAATAGTTTTTTTTTTTCAAACCAGTACAAAAAGGCCTACCCAACAGCAGTGAAGTGAGCCATGACGAAGCGATGGCTTTTCGAAAAGATGAGTTGATAAGGGCACGGAAAAGCATAACGGTTTCAAATGTTACCAAATGAAGGTGAGTAAAAAATCCACAAATCCCCATAGAGAAACATTCAGGAAAAGAA